ACGGCTTTGTATTCAGCAACACTGGCTGACCCATATGCAGGGTGACGTGGTGCGTTTCTGCCACTGCATCCCCATTCGGGTGGTTTGGAATATGCGCTGTTTATAGTCCGTCATTAGGTCTATGACAGAAAGTATATCGAGTGCTCAAGGAAAATGAATCCCATGGTGACTTCGTTTTCGTCTAATCTTCACATGACCTCCTCCAAGTCACCCTCGCACTGACGACCAACTCGCCGCTTCCCTTTCGGGTTACACTCGAGCAATGGCTTGTCTAGTGATGTCACTTGATGGTTTCCTCAGAGTATGGCCAATCCATCTCCATTTCTTTCTAATTATTTGTTGCATAATCGGTTCCTGGTTGGTTCGCTCCCAGAGATCTCTATTGCTGAACTTTTCTGGCCATCTAATCTTGAGTATTGAGCGAAGACAACTGTTGATGAAGGTCTGTATTTCGTTTGAGGTGCTCTTCATGACGCGCCAAGTGTCTGATCCGTATAGTAAGTGGCACTGACTTCACATTGGAGTTAAAGATCCAGGTCTTATTTTTGATGCTGAGGGCTGTTGACCTCCACACAGACTTGAGAGTAGTGAAAGCTTGCCTTGCTTTCCCGATCCTTGCTTTGATATCTTTGTTAGTTCCGCTTGTAGTTGAAACGATGCTTCCCAGGTCGGTGGGTAAAAGAGGTTGTTTCTTTCAGGTTCCTCCCATTTATGCTGATTGTTGTCTGTTGTTGTCGCTGTTGCTGTTGGCCAGAATTTCTCATCACCTCTGTTTTCTCTATGTTCACCTGAAGGCTTATCTTCTCTGGATGCTTCTTCTGCCAACTTGTTGCTTTTCGCTTGCATATCTTCCAGTTTGTGGGAAATCAGACATATATCATCGGCGAAGTCCAGATGCTCCAAGTTTTTTGTGTGTGTCCATTTTATGCCTGTTTCCTCATTGCCCGCTGTTTTTCGCATTATCCAGTCTATTGCAATCAGGAAAATCATTGGCGATAGTAGGCAGCCAGCTTGTCTTACTCCTGTCCTCACTTCGAAGGATTCCATAAGTTGTGGATTACTTGGCATGCAGCATTGTCGTACAGCTGTTGGATGAGATGTATAATTGTCAGTGGCACACCGTAGTAGCGAAGTAGTTGCCAAATCACCTCTCGATCGATGCTGTCGAAGGTCTTTTCAAAGTCGATGAAGTTGAGATAGAGAGGTGACTGCCACTCCAAGCTTTGTTCAGTGATGATCCGTAATGTGGCGATCTGATCAACGCATGACTTGTTTCTCCTGAATCCAGCCTGTTCCGGTCGAAGTTTTTCATCCAGGGCTTGTTTGATTCTCTCCAGGATGATGCGGCTTAGTATTTTGCTTGGGATGGGCAGGAGCATAATTCCGCGCCAGTTCTTGCATTGACTTAAATCTCCTTTCTTTGGTAGTTTGAATAAGCATCCTTTCTTCCAATCCTCGGGTACTTTGCCTTCTTTCCACACCTTCTCCAGTAGTGGCGTCATCAAGTCTCTGGGTCCATTTTCAACGCTTCTGCTGGGATTCCATCTGGTCCTGCTGCCTTTCCAGCTTTTAGCATCTTGATTGCCTTCAGGACTTCTGATTTCGTCGGGGGGGTTGGTGTTCACTGGTAGCTCTGTCTCCGTTGTTGGTATTGTTGGGCGTGTTGTAGGTGGTGGTCGATTTAGGAGTCTTTTGAAGTGTTCAGCCCAGTGTTTCCTTTGCTCCACTTCTTTGGTGAGTGAATTTCCTTTGTCGTCCTTCACTGGCTTAATTTCTGTCAAACTTTTGCCCGATAGGTACCTAGTTGTTTGGTAGAGTGTTGCGAGATCTCCTTTACATGCAGCTTGTTCTGCTTCAATTGCCATGATTTCATAATACTTTTTTTGTCTTCCCTGGCACTCTTCTTTACTCTTTTGTTCAGTGTCTTGCAGCTTGCGTTCAAATCCTGTTTTTGTTGCTCATCGGTGCACTGGAGAATCTTTTGTTTCACCATCCCTCTTTCTTCTCTTAGTTTCCAAGTGTCCGTAGTGAGCCATTGTTTGTCCTGTCTCTTCTTTCTGCCTAGAACCTCCATGCAGGTTTGACTCCATACTGTCTTCAAGTTTTCAGTGCTTTTCGACGCTGACCTCTTCGCCAGTGTTGATTTGTGTCTTGGCTCTGTCTTTTATACTTGCAGTGAAGATGTCCTTTGTGTCCTGGTCCTTCAGTTTTTGAGTGTTGAACTTGGCTTGTGGTCTATCTGCAGCTCCTGTTTCTCTGAGAGCTTTTAATTTGATTTGGATTGTCCCTTGTGCGAGATAGCGGTCTGAGCCGACGTCTGCTCCACTTCTTACTTTGGGGTCCAGTAGGCTGCGCCTCCACTTCCTTGAGATTGAGATGAAGTCGATTTGGTTTTTGGTTCGCCCATCTGGTGACACCCATGTGGCCTTGTGAATATCCTTGTGTTTGTATACGCTGCCACCAATCACTAGTTCATTGAAGGCGCAGAAGTCGGCGAAGAGTTCTCCGTTTTCATTCATTTCTCCGAGAGTTTCTCTACCTATGATGAGTTCCCTTTCTGTGTTGTCTGATCCCAGTTTGGCGTTCATGTCTCCCATTAGTATGTTAATGTCGCCGACTGGAGTATTGTCCATTGTTGTCTGTAGTTGTCTGTAGAATTCTTCTTTGTTTTCGAGGTCTGCGTCGTTGGTCGGTGCATAGCATTGCATAACTGACACTTTTCTTCCTTTGGAGTTGAATCTAGCGGTCATTATCCTGGGCGATATCACCTCCCATTGCATCAGGGCCTTCGTTGCCATTGGTGACATCATGATAGCGCAAAGCAAAACGCGATACTTGATCTTCCAAATTATGAGATATATTTCGGGACCAAATCGGAGTGCGAGATGATTGCCTAGCTGGCTGGGGATCGTGCACGAACGTGACACGATGGAGTACCAAATGGCGTGGGTGCTTGACCGGAAACCTTCAGCTAAACAAGTCGAATTAAAAAGTGAGGGTCAGCATCCAATGTTCAGTGATGATTGCTGTGGTCAATAATTTTGGGGAATTATTTGTTGCGATAGCTCACTACCCCCTAGTGGGGTCGTGAGGAACTTAAGTTAGAGCCAGACGGAAGTAAAGAAACTAGATGGTTCCCCATCGGTATAAACCTCTTCCGAGCGGCATGGTGGAGTGCCTACTGGCCGTCTGCCCATGCTAATAGGGTGTCTGTACATCCCTCCATTGATGTTTTTTCGTTGGATCTCGTGCTTTGTTTGCTTCTCGTCCAGTGCCCGTTGCACCTGGAGAAGAAGACAAGAATGCTAAGAACCTTGTTGAGGAAGATGTACCGAAAATAACGTCTGAAGAACGATATGCATCTACCACACTGTAAAATAATTCGAAAATGAGAACATCGAAAAAGTATATATCTAATTATTTTAGCGGATGCAACATGTAAAGTTTTAGAAAAGTTTTTTACTGGTGTTCTGGGATGCAATAAAAAATTCATGTCTGAAAGAAAAAAATAAATAAATACCACAAACGTACGTAAACATAATGCAAATGAATAGAAATGATGCTTGCCGTTCCCGATGAATACCAGTGGTTATCGTCAATTCAGGTGTAAATCACCAGTAAGATCTTGCTACCTAAAAGTTGGAGACCACCGGGTAAACTACAGAGATAACTTGTTGGATAGGAAATCGTAATGATACATTTGACGAAAGTGAGAGGTTCGACATTCACCTTGAATTGATGCTGGGCAAACGCAAGTTCAAATTACTTCAAGATGAGTCTGCCGTACTAATTAATAACCATAAGTAGGCTTCGATGACTAGCCTTTTATAAACAAAGCTATTAGCCACCCTTAACGTGTGACTATTTACGACAGGTCAGAGTAAATGGAGTTGAATATGAAGCTCACTAGTTTTAAATCAAGTGCTCACACTGATAAACCATATCTTCCTAACTAAAAGAAAACTGCTTATCATTTCAAATTATTAGAGGAACCAGAACTCACTAAATATGTGGACGAGAATCCAAAAAATAGAATGTCGTATGAACCTGTTTCGGTTACCAGGATCCATGGGTACACAGCTTTTGACGCTTCTCCACTGCCTTGTGGGTCAGAATCCAGTCCAAAGGCTTGGAGGAGTGCTGGCTCATTGAGACAATCACCTTTTCCGGTCTGGGCGTTCGGGAGATATCTCAGACCTTGCGCAAACTTTGAGACGGTGTGGAGGATCTCTTGGTGTCCATAATAAACCAAATTTGTGCTTTAATAAAAATTACTCAATAAAATAATGTAAGGCTGGGTTGTGTTAAACGTATCCCTGATTAGTAATGTTTTCTACAAGGAGACTACATTGGAAAATAGTTGGGATTCGTCAGAAGGAATTTTTATGCCCCAATCTGTGTAGCTGATGACTGTTGGTCTGAGACACAAGGACATATAAGTTATTTCACTAGTCTTTCGGTTGCCTTGAAATAATATTTGGAAACTCCTCGTAAGATTACTGAGAACAGTTCAAGGTGGTAACAAATGTTTACACCTTATGGTCTTTGAAATTCTGAACACTCCAATCGATCTCTATGGAGTTGTGTCCGTTATTGTGTCCACTTTTTTTCCTTTTACAAAGTATCGTCACCACTTCAAATGGCGCATATATGTATATATATTAATATTCAGTGTGCACGATTGTATTCAATGCCAACCAAGAAATTTCGACGTGCAACGTAATATAATACCAGACTTCCGTGCAAAATGACCACCGTGGAAACTCCTTAACTACTTGCTGACGCTACGGAAGATATAACTGAATTCTTGCGCTTCTGTGCACAGTTATATATTGGAACTCAGTCACCACTGATTCCCAATTTAATAAGAGTTCGTGCTACGGTTCTACTAAAATCCAATTCATTTATATCTTTGTTACCCCTTCCTGAAGTCAAAAATATTTAGGCAAGCTGACTGGTGCTTAAAAAACTCACTGCTTTCAAGGCCACCAATAACTCACTTCAACATTTCAAGAGATGAATGGCTTCTAAATCTCCAGAAATATTGTATTGGCTATTTTTGGTCTCAGCTCTGTCGCGTGTGAAGAACAGAAGACGTTTGAGTCCTTTTTTGATTCCAATATCTGAAAAAAAGAAATTAATTAGAATCACCGTGTTCATCCTATAATAACGCTAATAACAAATTGAGGAAAGAGAATGTTAGCGCAGCAACCCTGTCATTAAAGTATCTTTCAATAACTACAGTGAACCGTCTATGGAAGCTCACTTCTGAGCATATAACTCCATGGCTCATAAATTCTCTATAATATGTCTGACGAAACCCAACGTTTCTGAGGTGTACCCGCAAATGGATCAAGTTCATAGAACTGGGTAAAAACCTTCAGCAGTGTTCAGTCAACTTGGTAAGTTCATAATCTAACTGACCGCATTAATTTATCATACATAAAACATATATATACTTCGTATAGAGAAAAGAGCAATCACTTATTATTATTACTACCGAATGACCTAAATAAAGACTATGGAAGTACTTGCAAAACATAAATAATGTTGACAATGAAAACAGTTTCAAACTCAATGAGTATTAGCCAGAGATATATTTAAATACAAGCAAAAGAAACTATACTGCAAAAGCCCAGTTCGACCTAGAGGTTGAAAAGAGTGGGAACTCGCCGCTAACCTTGAAATGTTCAATATCTCTGTAGCCAGTTTCCTGGCGCATTCGCTTCGTTGTCTCAAAGAGATTTCAGATCCTTGGAGGATTTTGGTGCATAAAAATCTTTCCGAATAACTATCAAAGCTCAGCTGAACGTAGCAAGATAAAGGAGGTTAATATATCTTCAGAGGAGTGGGCGGTAAGTAAAATGTAGTGACAGAGCAAATGAAGTTTCTACAAACGGCCCTGCAGACAGTTCAAAACACTGTGTAAGACAGAGTGTTGACAGAACAGAAAGGAGATAGGGAGAACGGGTACAGAAACCAAATCGATGTGAGTGAACGCAAGTAGAGAGAGGCAAACAGAGAAAAAGAAGGGAACAGAAACTGTGGAAGAGGGTTAAGTACCACCTGCCTTGATTAGTAATGCTGAAGATAAACTGAAACGGCTGGATATTTGTTGTGCTAGTGCAGCCCCTCCAGAACTAGACTGCTACTGCTTAAGATGTGTTCAGGGAATCCCAAAAAGACAAAGTATGGGCTCACTTTTATTACGGCTTTGTATTCAGCAACACTGGCTGACCCATATGCAGGGTGACGTGGTGCGTTTCTGCCACTGCATCCCCATTCGGGTGGTTTGGAATATGCGCTGTTTATAGTCCGTCATTAGGTCTATGACAGAAAGTATATCGAGTGCTCAAGGAAAATGAATCCCATGGTGACTTCGTTTTCGTCTAATCTTCACATGACCTCCTCCAAGTCACCCTCGCACTGACGACCAACTCGCCGCTTCCCTTTCGGGTTACACTCGAGCAATGGCTTGTCTAGTGATGTCACTTGATGGTTTCCTCAGAGTATGGCCAATCCATCTCCATTTCTTTCTAATTATTTGTTGCATAATCGGTTCCTGGTTGGTTCGCTCCCAGAGATCTCTATTGCTGAACTTTTCTGGCCATCTAATCTTGAGTATTGAGCGAAGACAGCTGTTGATGAAGGTCTGTATTTCGTTTGAGGTGCTCTTCATGACGCGCCAAGTGTCTGATCCGTATAGTAAGTGGCACTGACTTCACATTGGAGTTAAAGATCCAGGTCTTATTTTTGATGCTGAGGGCTGTTGACCTCCACACAGACTTGAGAGTAGTGAAAGCTTGCCTTGCTTTCCCGATCCTTGCTTTGATATCTTTGTTAGTTCCGCTTGTAGTTGAAACGATGCTTCCCAGGTCGGTGGGTAAAAGAGGTTGTTTCTTTCAGGTTCCTCCCATTTATGCTGATTGTTGTCTGTTGTTGTCGCTGTTGCTGTTGGCCAGAATTTCTCATCACCTCTGTTTTCTCTATGTTCACCTGAAGGCTTATCTTCTCTGGATGCTTCTTCTGCCAACTTGTTGCTTTTCGCTTGCATATCTTCCAGTTTGTGGGAAATCAGACATATATCATCGGCGAAGTCCAGATGCTCCAAGTTTTTTGTGTGTGTCCATTTTATGCCTGTTTCCTCATTGCCCGCTGTTTTTCGCATTATCCAGTCTATTGCAATCAGGAAAATCATTGGCGATAGTAGGCAGCCAGCTTGTCTTACTCCTGTCCTCACTTCGAAGGATTCCATAAGTTGTGGATTACTTGGCATGCAGCATTGTCGTACAGCTGTTGGATGAGATGTATAATTGTCAGTGGCACACCGTAGTAGCGAAGTAGTTGCCAAATCACCTCTCGATCGATGCTGTCGAAGGTCTTTTCAAAGTCGATGAAGTTGAGATAGAGAGGTGACTGCCACTCCAAGCTTTGTTCAGTGATGATCCGTAATGTGGCGATCTGATCAACGCATGACTTGTTTCTCCTGAATCCAGCCTGTTCCGGTCGAAGTTTTTCATCCAGGGCTTGTTTGATTCTCTCCAGGATGATGCGGCTTAGTATTTTGCTTGGGATGGGCAGGAGCATAATTCCGCGCCAGTTCTTGCATTGACTTAAATCTCCTTTCTTTGGTAGTTTGAATAAGCATCCTTTCTTCCAATCCTCGGGTACTTTGCCTTCTTTCCACACCTTCTCCAGTAGTGGCGTCATCAAGTCTCTGGGTCCATTTTCAACGCTTCTGCTGGGATTCCATCTGGTCCTGCTGCCTTTCCAGCTTTTAGCATCTTGATTGCCTTCAGGACTTCTGATTTCGTCGGGGGGGTTGGTGTTCACTGGTAGCTCTGTCTCCGTTGTTGGTATTGTTGGGCGTGTTGTAGGTGGTGGTCGATTTAGGAGTCTTTTGAAGTGTTCAGCCCAGTGTTTCCTTTGCTCCACTTCTTTGGTGAGTGAATTTCCTTTGTCGTCCTTCACTGGCTTAATTTCTGTCAAACTTTTGCCCGATAGGTACCTAGTTGTTTGGTAGAGTGTTGCGAGATCTCCTTTACATGCAGCTTGTTCTGCTTCAATTGCCATGATTTCATAATACTTTTTTTGTCTTCCCTGGCACTCTTCTTTACTCTTTTGTTCAGTGTCTTGCAGCTTGCGTTCAAATCCTGTTTTTGTTGCTCATCGGTGCACTGGAGAATCTTTTGTTTCACCATCCCTCTTTCTTCTCTTAGTTTCCAAGTGTCCGTAGTGAGCCATTGTTTGTCCTGTCTCTTCTTTCTGCCTAGAACCTCCATGCAGGTTTGACTCCATACTGTCTTCAAGTTTTCAGTGCTTTTCGACGCTGACCTCTTCGCCAGTGTTGATTTGTGTCTTGGCTCTGTCTTTTATACTTGCAGTGAAGATGTCCTTTGTGTCCTGGTCCTTCAGTTTTTGAGTGTTGAACTTGGCTTGTGGTCTATCTGCAGCTCCTGTTTCTCTGAGAGCTTTTAATTTGATTTGGATTGTCCCTTGTGCGAGATAGCGGTCTGAGCCGACGTCTGCTCCACTTCTTACTTTGGGGTCCAGTAGGCTGCGCCTCCACTTCCTTGAGATTGAGATGAAGTCGATTTGGTTTTTGGTTCGCCCATCTGGTGACACCCATGTGGCCTTGTGAATATCCTTGTGTTTGTATACGCTGCCACCAATCACTAGTTCATTGAAGGCGCAGAAGTCGGCGAAGAGTTCTCCGTTTTCATTCATTTCTCCGAGAGTTTCTCTACCTATGATGAGTTCCCTTTCTGTGTTGTCTGATCCCAGTTTGGCGTTCATGTCTCCCATTAGTATGTTAATGTCGCCGACTGGAGTATTGTCCATTGTTGTCTGTAGTTGTCTGTAGAATTCTTCTTTGTTTTCGAGGTCTGCGTTGTTGGTCGGTGCATAGCATTGCATAACTGACACTTTTCTTCCTTTGGAGTTGAATCTAGCGGTCATTATCCTGGGCGATATCACCTCCCATTGCATCAGGGCCTTCGTTGCCATTGGTGACATCATGATAGCGCAAAGCAAAACGCGATACTTGATCTTCCAAATTATGAGATATATTTCGGGACCAAATCGGAGTGCGAGATGATTGCCTAGCTGGCTGGGGATCGTGCACGAACGTGACACGATGGAGTACCAAATGGCGTGGGTGCTTGACCGGAAACCTTCAGCTAAACAAGTCGAATTAAAAAGTGAGGGTCAGCATCCAATGTTCAGTGATGATTGCTGTGGTCAATAATTTTGGGGAATTATTTGTTGCGATAGCTCACTACCCCCTAGTGGGGTCGTGAGGAACTTAAGTTAGAGCCAGACGGAAGTAAAGAAACTAGATGGTTCCCCATCGGTATAAACCTCTTCCGAGCGGCATGGTGGAGTGCCTACTGGCCGTCTGCCCATGCTAATAGGGTGTCTGTACATCCCTCCATTGATGTTTTTTCGTTGGATCTCGTGCTTTGTTTGCTTCTCGTCCAGTGCCCGTTGCACCTGGAGAAGAAGACAAGAATGCTAAGAACCTTGTTGAGGAAGATGTACCGAAAATAACGTCTGAAGAACGATATGCATCTACCACACTGTAAAATAATTCGAAAATGAGAACATCGAAAAAGTATATATCTAATTATTTTAGCGGATGCAACATGTAAAGTTTTAGAAAAGTTTTTTACTGGTGTTCTGGGATGCAATAAAAAATTCATGTCTGAAAGAAAAAAATAAATAAATACCACAAACGTACGTAAACATAATGCAAATGAATAGAAATGATGCTTGCCGTTCCCGATGAATACCAGTGGTTATCGTCAATTCAGGTGTAAATCACCAGTAAGATCTTGCTACCTAAAAGTTGGAGACCACCGGGTAAACTACAGAGATAACTTGTTGGATAGGAAATCGTAATGATACATTTGACGAAAGTGAGAGGTTCGACATTCACCTTGAATTGATGCTGGGCAAACGCAAGTTCAAATTACTTCAAGATGAGTCTGCCGTACTAATTAATAACCATAAGTAGGCTTCGATGACTAGCCTTTTATAAACAAAGCTATTAGCCACCCTTAACGTGTGACTATTTACGACAGGTCAGAGTAAATGGAGTTGAATATGAAGCTCACTAGTTTTAAATCAAGTGCTCACACTGATAAACCATATCTTCCTAACTAAAAGAAAACTGCTTATCATTTCAAATTATTAGAGGAACCAGAACTCACTAAATATGTGGACGAGAATCCAAAAAATAGAATGTCGTATGAACCTGTTTCGGTTACCAGGATCCATGGGTACACAGCTTTTGACGCTTCTCCACTGCCTTGTGGGTCAGAATCCAGTCCAAAGGCTTGGAGGAGTGCTGGCTCATTGAGACAATCACCTTTTCCGGTCTGGGCGTTCGGGAGATATCTCAGACCTTGCGCAAACTTTGAGACGGTGTGGAGGATCTCTTGGTGTCCATAATAAACCAAATTTGTGCTTTAATAAAAATTACTCAATAAAATAATGTAAGGCTGGGTTGTGTTAAACGTATCCCTGATTAGTAATGTTTTCTACAAGGAGACTACATTGGAAAATAGTTGGGATTCGTCAGAAGGAATTTTTATGCCCCAATCTGTGTAGCTGATGACTGTTGGTCTGAGACACAAGGACATATAAGTTATTTCACTAGTCTTTCGGTTGCC